AAAAAAAAAAAAAAAAAAAAAAAAAAAGGCCGGGCGCGGTGGCTCACACCTGTAATCTCAGCACTTTGGGAGGCCGAGGAGGGTAGATCACTTGAGATCAGGAGCTGGAGGCCACCGTGGCCAACATGGTGAAACCCTGCCTCTACTAAAAATACAAAAATTAGCTGGGCGTGGTGACAGACACCTGTAATCCCAGCTACTCGGGAGACTGAGGCAAAAGAATCGCTTGAACCTGGGGCGGAGGTTGCAGTGAGCCAAGATCGCACCACTGCGCTCCAGCCTGGGCAACAGAGTGAGACTCTGTCTCAAAAGAAAAAACAAAACAACAAGAAAACACACAATTTTGCGACCATACGTTAAAACTGCTACAATAATATGTATTTGGGAGGAGATAGTTAGAGCAAGCATCCCTTTGGAGTACCATCTCTTTGGAGTACCAACACCTGATTTTAGTTTTTATCACCAATTTTAAAATGTCACCTGGCAACTCAGGTCTTCCTTCAATTTTGTTGAAAACCAGTAATTGAGAACCAATTGGGAAATCAGTATCTACATATTTTCCATGGCGTTCAGTGGCCCGGACGTTCCTACCCTATTGGTGGACACATCATTGTAAGATTGGAGTGAGGATTGGCGAGGGGTGCGCCCTTCTTGTGTAAAGCGGGAGAAGAGTCTATTGTTAGGCAACATTTTAGGATATAGGATAATAAACATTGGTGTCCTGAAAACGTTCCTGGCCCCAACACTCTTAGAGCTTTGCATTCTCCAGTTTGGAAACCATGGCTCTGAAAGACTCAACTCACTCCAGTGATGCCAGCCACCAGCTACTGTCGATGACTTCGCAAGTTCGTACTTTCAGTCCACACCTCTTCCTTTCGCTGGGCACCAAACTTGTCTACATTCCGAGTGTCCCGGCACCCCCCCGGGCTTCGCTTTCCACCTCTCACACTAGGAAGCGGCAAGCCGCTTCTGGTGCCCACACCGATCCTCTGCTGCCCGCCCTGGGTCCTCCACCCTCGCCCCTGGAATCGGCCTCCCTAGATTCCCTTCCCTCTGAAGGTCATTTGGAAACGGGCTCCAGGGGGCGACCCTGCGCAGAAAACCAAATTCCATCCGGGTTGGGCAGGGAGTGCTAGTCTCCAAGGAAGACGTTTCCCACTTTCGGTGGTGAGGAGTGTTCGGTGGCACGGCCAGCGCTCTGAAAGCTCCTCCTCTACGCGGGGATATCCAGTCGTAGCCACGAAAATACGCTGCATCCGTCCCTGATTCCAAAGGAAGTCCTAGAGGGAGTCCTACCAACCATCTAGCTTCCTCCGCCTTCCCCGTGCCAGGCCAGCGGCCACCGCAGGCTTGGAGGCCCGGCCCACCTCTGGCCGCGCGACTGGCCTTAAAGCGGTAGTGTAGTTAGGCTTCCTCAGGCAGGCAGTGGACCCACCGCAGGTTTTTCCTGTTTGAAGACTACAGCGTCTCACAACAACGCGCGCGAGAAAAGAGGGTACTCTCGCGAGAAGTCCAGGGGTGGCCGTGATGGCGGCGGCGGGAGCAGGACCCGGCCAGGAAGCGGGTGCCGGGCCTGGCCCAGGAGCGGCCGCAAATGCAACAGCTGCAGAAGAAGGGGAGATGAAGCCGGTGGCAGCGGGAGCAGCCGCTCCTCCTGGAGAGGGGACCTCTGCTCCTCCGACAGCTGAGCCCAGTTCCGGCGAGGCTGAAGGCGGGTAAGAGGTCCTGCGGCCAGAGGAGGACGCGGGAGGGAGGCCCGCCCCTCGCGAATTCCGCGGCTCTTGGGGCCCTGCCGCCCGCCCCCTGCGAACTCAGGCCCCGCCGCCAATGGCTCGTCCTGCCCCTGCGCAGCTTGGCCCGTCCTCTCTCAAGAATATCTCAGATAACGCCCCTTCCGCACCTTTCACGGGCGGTGGGAGTTGAGGCGCCTGCCATTATCACTGACTCTTGCACCCCGGCAGGAAGCTGGTAGCTCACTCTTTAACGGGAGGCCTTCACATATTCCAGAAAAAAAAAACAAAAACAAAAAACTACTTTTGCAGTGCCAGACTGGAAGAAGTAACGGTCACTCTGAAAACAGGGTGGGAGAGCTGCCTCTATTTGAACCTCTCCCAGGACCAACTCTAACCCAGGTAGATTTGTCTGTAAAAGCCGATTAGGCGTCCCTGTGCTCCGTAGGTCCGCTACTGTCTTGTCCACCTTCTCAATATCCTGACAATACCTTGGGCATCCAATCTGAGAACAGGCGTAGCTGAAAAACCTGCAAGAATATGAAGTTCGACTGTAATTTGATCATCATTTTTGGGAATAGGTATTTTGAGGTTTGTTTGTATTGAGAATTCTTGCTTGAGCTCTTTCATTATCTTATAGGGAGGCAAACTTGGTCGATGTAAGCGGTGGTTTGGAGACAGAATCATCTAATGGAAAAGATACACTAGTAAGTATTTCTTCTTAGTTGTTTGCAAGACAACATAGGGTTTGGTTTTAAATTTTTTTTTTGCGGCGGAGCCTCACTCTGTCGCCCAGGCTGGAATGCAGTGGTGCGATCTGGGCTCACTGCAACCTCCTCCCGGGTTCCTGCGATTCTCCTGCCTCACCCTTCCGAATAGCTGGGATTACAGGCACCTGCCAACACACCCAGCTACTTTTTTTTTTTTTTTTTAATTTTTAGTAGAGACGGGGTTTCACGATGTTGGCCACGCTGGTCTCCAACTCCTGACCTCAGGTGATTCTCCCTCCTCGGCCTCCCAAAGTGCTGGGATTACAGGCTTGAGATACCGCACGCGGCCTTGTTCTTAAATTTTTAAGCGAATCAAAAATACATTCCGTCCAGGCACGGTGGCTCATGCCTGTAATCCCAGCACTTTGGGAGGCTGAGACCAGCCTGGGCAACATAGGGAGACCCTTGTCTCTTAAAAAAACAAAATAAAGTAAAATACGTTCAAGTCAACTGATTTGATTCTTGAATTGCTCTGACACAGGAAGGTGCTGGGGATACGTCAGAGGTGATGGATACTCAGGCGGGCTCCGTGGATGAAGAGAATGGCCGACAGTTGGGTGAAGTAGAGCTGCAATGTGGGATTTGTACAAAATGGTTCACGGCTGACACATTTGGCATAGATACCTCGTGAGTACTTTTCATAGTTTTTGTAAGAATTACTCGGTAAAATAAATCTGAACATGCTCAACAGTTAGTTTCTGGGCAAAATAAATGCGAAGTATTTCCTATGTCTCCTGACTCCTATTCAGCAAGTAGGATGTTGAATCAGGGATTGTTTTAATTCCCTTAGCATGTTATCTGCTTACTGACGGCACAGCCCTGATAGATACAATGGTGGGTATTGTCCCTCCATTTGAGCTTACAACCTGGTTTGGAGACCAAAAAAAATGCAATTACAAACTGTTATATAAACAAATTTAGGACAATATAAACCTTGTGTTGGTGTTTTGGATTTTTCAGAAAGAATTAGTGTATATGTGGATAAAGCCTGTTGTCCCAAATTTGAGATGACCCATGCTCTTTATACCTGAACCGTCCTCTTTTTCCTTTCTCATTGCTGCTGACTTACTCCTTTAGGTATGTTGTCTGCTCTCCTCAGCAAAGCTATTTCCAATCATGTGCCTCTTCTAGTGAATTAAAATAATATTGTGATTGAGAATGAAAGACTTTTTTCCTTATACCGACTCCTGTCTATTGGAATAACTGTACTGCTCGCTCTTTGTAATGTTCTTTATGGTCTATATTATACTAATGCATTTATATAAGACTATATAAAAATAAGGCTGCATATGTGTGTGTTTTCTTGTTTTTTTCTTGCAACCGGGTCTCGCTCTGCCGCCCAGGCTGGAGTGCAATGGCAGGATCACAGCTTGCTGCAGCCTCGAACTTCTGAGCTCAAGGAATCCTCCTGCCTCACCCTTCCAAAGTGTTGGGATTACCGGCATGAGCCACCACACCCAGCTTTCCTTTATAATCCGTTGTATACTTTCTAGTTAAAAGGTTAAAATGGGTTTTAGAAATGCTGATGTCTCAATTAACATGTGACTTGTGATTTAGGAAAGAGTGTTTTTAAAAAGAAAGAAAAATACTGAAGGATCAGGAAGAAATAATTGATCTTGGTAGCAACATCTGTTGGGAAAACACACTAGCTAAGTGAGCCTGGTCTCTTAGAGAGGCCTAAGATAGGGCCACTTTTGCCGGAAGAATTTGTTTGGATAGACAGTTTAGGAAAGGAAATTTACTAGTGAGATAACTGGGAGGAATTCAAGGAAAAATCAAATCACAGTTCAAAATTTTGGTAGCTTTGGAGACAAGAGTTTGTAACTGAACTTGAAAAGTTGTATCTAAAGCCCAGTTAGATCCTATCCGTGGTATCAAGTTTAAAAAAAGCAGGGGGCGGGGGCCAGGCACAGTGGCTCACGCCTGTAATCCCAGCACTTTGGGAGGCCGAGGCAGGCTGATCACGAGGTCGGGAGTTGGAAACGAGCCTGACCGATATGGTGAAACCCCGTCTCCAAAAAACATACAAAAATTAGCTGGGTGCAGTGTTGCACACCTGTAGTCCCAGCTACTCGGGAGGCAGGAGAATCACTTGAACCCGGGAAGCGGAGGTTGCACTCCAGCCTGGGCGACAGAGTGAGACTCCGTCTCAAAAAAAAAAAAAAGGCAAGGCATGGTGGCTGACACCTGTAATCCCAGCACTTTAGGAGGTGGAGACAGGAGGATGACTTGAGCCCAGGCGTTCTAGACCAGCCTAGGCAACATAGTGCGATCCTGTCCCTGTGAGAAATAGAAAAAATGAGCTAGGCATGGTGATGCACCCCTGTAGTACCAGCTACTCAGGAGTTTTAGGTGGGAGGATTGCTTAAGCGCCGCAGTTTGAGGCTGCAGTGAGCCATGATTGTACCACTGCACTCCTGCCTGGATAACAGAGTGAAACCCTGTACCCCCCCCCCAAAAAAAATAAAGCCCAGTTAGGTGGGATGGATTATCTTTTGCAACTGAGATAGAGAATGTGAGCTAGCAGGGTATGAAAAAGGCTGCTCTTTACACCTGTTTGTGTTTGAATTAAAATAACTATTTACCTACTTATCTTTAGTATGAGGCTTTGCCTTCTGTAAATGAGTTTATCACAATAAACTGTTTAACAGAAGAGGTTCTACAGAGAAGTGAAGGTAAGGAAACTCAGCCTAACATTTGTAAGAATGTTTCTTAATTCCATGAGGGTAACAATAGTTGGTAAATGCTTGGTAGTCTTCTCTGAGGATACCCTAAGCTAGGTTCAGAGTCCAAGATAAACCTTTGTTCTGGTTTCTTCTCTTCTAGCTTAAGCCATTTATACTAAAGGTCTTCTGTCCTTCTATTACTTTGCCCTTTGCAAGACTAAACTCCTGTCCTTTTCCTGTCACCCTGTGCAATCACTACCATGTTTCCTCAAATGCGTTGATTCCTCTATTGCATCCCATGTCTGCCATATTGTCTTTCCCCTCCTGGCCTCTTCCTCTCTTAACTTCAAATAGGCAAGTCTTCTCTTGATGTCAGGTGATCTACCCATCTTGGCCTCTCAAAGTTCTGGAATTACAGGCATGAGCCACCACGCCTGGCCTAGTTATCTACATTTTTAATTCATTTTTTCTTACATTCTGCCTGCCCTTTCCAACCACATCATTGACACCATAGAGATACACCTTAGACTACTTTGTCCTTTTCTACAGCTGGCCTGGCATATTCTTTTTAGGTGCTCAAAAAATAAACTAACAAGATACCCAGAACAAGTGAGAAGCTTCTAGATGCCGAATTGTCCAGTATAATGGATAAAGTCTTATTAATTTTTGTGACAGAAAAATCCAGGTATTTTTAAGAATATGAGCCCTGTTTTGGTTTTGACAACCTTTTTACATTTTAAGACTATGTTAACATATTAACATTTTAATTTACCTGTCACTGAGGGGAATGGATGCATGTTAACTTCTCATAAAGAAGTGTACAGCCTGGGCAACATGGTGAAAGCCTAACTCCATAAAAAAAATACAAAAATTAGCTGGGCATGGTGGCTCATTCTTGTATCCCAGCTACTTGGGGGACTGAAGTGGGAGAATCAACCTGAGCCAGGGAAGGTCAAGTCTGCAGTGAGCTATGATTGTAACACTGCACTCCAGCCTGGGTGGCAGAGTGAGACCCTGTCTTAAAAAAAAAAAAAAAAAAAGAGGCCGAGACGGGCGGATCACAAGGTCAGGAGATCGAGACCATCCTGGTTAACACAGTGAAACCCCGTCTCTACTAAAAATACAAAAAACTAGCCGGGCGAGGTGGCAGGCGCCTGTAGTCCCAGCTACTTGGGAGGCTGAGCCAGGAGAATGGCGTAAACCCGGGAGGCGGAGTTTGCAGTGAGCTGAGATCTGGCCACTGCACTCCAGCCTGGGCGACAGAGCTAGACTCCGTCTCAAAAAAAAAAAAAAAGAAGAAGAAGAAGAAGAAGTGTGTGTATTCACAAATTCACTAATTTGTATAATTTTTCTGTAGATCCTGTCTACCTTTCATGACCAACTACAGTTTTCACTGCAATGTCTGCCATCACAGTGGGAATACCTATTTCCTCCGGAAGCAAGCAAGTAAGAACAAACTCTGGAGTATTAGAAGATGATTATGCACTGGAAAAGAAAAGGGATCTGGGCTTAGCAGAATCAGGAGACCTTTGCCTAGTAGCTGGTATAGGTTCAGTTGGGGTTTAGCTCTGAATAATTGCAGTTGCCCATTTCAGGTCACATGATGACTCCATTTTGCTGCTGTAATTGTTATTTTCTGGACCACTTATTAATTATTCCCTTGGTAATAGAGATATAGTACTATAGATAACTGTTTCTTCCTTTTTGTTTTTGATAGACTTGAAGGAAATGTGCCTTAGTGCTTTGGCCAACCTGACATGGCAGTCCCGAACACAGGATGAACATCCGAAGACAATGTTCTCCAAAGATAAGGTAGAGGTGGAATTAATGTAATTGCAATTATACTAAAGAGTTAGGTGGAACTTCTAAATATACTCCCTAACAAGTACTTTCTTCCCAGTTTTTAATGAATATATGACAGTGGATTCAGTGATTACCTTGTTCTTTTTTTCTTTTTTTTTCAAGACGGAGTCTTGCTCTATTGTCCAGGCTGCAGCACAGTGATGCAATCTCAGCTCACTGCATCCTCTGCCTCCTGGGTTCCAGCGATTCTCCTGCCTCAGCTTCCCGAGTAGCTGGGATTACAGGCTTGCACCACCACGCCTGGCTAATTTTTTCTATTTTTGGTGGAGACAGGATTTCACTGTGTTGGCCAGGCTGGTCTCCAGCTGACCTCATGATCCCCCGCCTTGGCCTCCCAAAGTGCTGGGATTACAGGTGTGAGCCACCGCACCTGGCCTGTTCTGTTTTTTTTAAGAGAGAGTCTCACTCTGTCACCCAGGCTAGAGTGCAGTGGTGTGATTATGGCTCACTGCAGCCTTGACCTCCTGGGCTAAAGCAATTCACCTTCCTTGGCCTCTCAAAGTGTTGGGAGTACAGATGTGAGCCACTGCGCGTGGCCCATTTTTAGTTTATTTTTTCCAAAATTATTTTGAAAATTTTCTTTTTTTTTTTTTTTTTTTTTTTT